AGGGGGGTGGTGGTGAGGGGTGTAAGTAACTACCGTACGTATGTACTTATGTCTATCTCTTGGCTTGGCGACCGATTCAGTCACTCGCTTGTTGATTGGTTGACTGCGCTGCTCTGCTGTCTCGGTTTGACTGTCCAGCGTCTATAGAATACGTATGTTTACAGATATGTACATACATACCATTCATATTACTGCATGAATGACTGCTCAGGGAGAGGTTGAGTGGGGTGCCGTGAGCAATGGCCAATGATCGGCACATCCCTCAACCTATCCAGTACTAACCTACCTTCCTACCTACCTACCTACCTGTCTGTCTGTCAGTGTCTCTATCCGGATGTCGGTCGTTGCCTCGTATACGGAGAATTCGCTGGGGTTGGCATATACATATACATATTATGTGTGTGCATCGAGTGGATACGTACACACATACATACGTACACACATACGTATATACATACAAATGCGTGTAGTGCGCTCAGTGCACCCATCCTACCATGACCGACTGACATGACACTATACGCGCTTCCTCTGAAGGCTGTCCGGTGTGTTCAAGATGAGTAAGGTGTCCTCTATGTTCCGCACACAACCGCGGTACATTCATAGAATGTTCGTCTCCGTCTTGATGTGACGGCCGATGCCGTGTCATCGGCCCGCGGCCGATAACGGGGCCAATGAAACGGCTCCGGACGGGGCATCAAGACGGAAATGAACACGCACACAGAAGTTGGACTGTATGAGGCAAGACACACTCTCTTATACACACAAATCCATCCAGAGCCACTCGTCCAACGCGCCTGTCCGCCACTATCTACATACTCGTCGGTGGCTATCTCTTGACCCTCTTGGCGGCAGGCTCCTCTCCCTGTCCACCGCCCTCCCCTGCAGCAGCCCCATGAACAACATTGCCGCCACCACCACCACTGCCAGTGGCACCACCAGTGTCAGAACGCCTCATCCTCTCAGGCAGCTCGGGCACTACAGGCGTCTCCACACCTGTTTTCTGCTGCAGCTGCTGCAGATAGCCCAGGAGGAATGCCGGCCACTTCTCTTCCTCGTAGACCAATGGGTGCCTGCAAAGGACAGCACATGACTGTAAAAATGGACGCTCGCCGCGGTGTGGCGCTCACTTGTCGTAGATGTCACTCGACGATGCTCCAAAGGGACGGGAGGGGATGCTCAATGGCCTGGACCACACGGACGGCAGGAGCCATCTGACACGCTTTGTTGTTGGTCAGTTTGTGTCCTCACTCACACTGGGAAGGCGGTGAGCACTTTCCGGAAGGTCAGCTGCGCCTCGTATACGGCATCCGTCTTGGTGTGCTCAAACTGACACATCAACACACACACGCACACACGCACACACAACATTGGCACCTCCTTTGTGTCGTAGGTCAAGGGCTCCGTCATGTGTCACTCACCAGCAGCAGCGGTGCTGCAGGAGATCCGAACCTAGTGCCCTTGACGCCTTGGAAGTAGACGGTGCCAACGATGACCCGAATGCCCTCCCAGTAAGGCCCCTCAGGCATCTCCAGCCGCTCACCAGACACGACAGTGCTCGGCCTGAGCAGACACACAGACAACACAGGACACATACGCTAGTTCGCCCTCCCCTCATTTGTGTCTGTCCTTCTGTTTGCCGACTTCTCCTCAAATATGCCGAGTGCCTCCAGCAATGAAGGCAGCCTCAGGTCGCCACCAAACAGCTGCCATGGGCCGCTCGACGCATCATCGTCACGAGAGATGGAGGTGAAGGGGTCGGCGGCCAGGCCCCACGGATCACCGGCAACCTCGGCCCTGATTCTCCTGCGCTTGAGCGTCCTCGGGGTCAGATCACCAGCCTGCATTCAGGACAAGAGAGCGGTGGTGCTATAGTGGGAGGCTGACCGTCCTCGTGTACCTTCTTGGTGTTTGACAGAATGTAGGCCCGCCCCGGGCAGTCTGACAGCTCCATCGTGTAGAACTCCCGCCCCGCACCGCCGGCGTCTGCCGTGACAGCAGCTCTGTTGAAGAAGTGGCGGAACGAAGCCGACCAGCTGCCGCTGCTCACTGCACCATAGCCCTGCAGTAGCAACACAGATGCGGACGGTGCCTGAGATCTCAAGTGTGTCTGCCTTTTTGACAAGTGTGTCTGTCTGACCATGAGTGCCTTCTTGACTGCCTCGGCCGTCTCCGATGGCTGCAGAGGGGGCTGCCCTGGTGTGCGGATGAAGTCAACAGACCTGACACATACATGGGACAACAACAACAGCGGTGTCAAGTGAAATGCATCCCGGAGCCCTGCATCTCGACCTACCACTTGACGACCATTTGGCTCAGCGCATCCACAGATCTTCGGGGGAAAGGGAGAGGTCAAGCAACTTCCTTGAATCATTGCGAGCTCGGTGCTGAGGGAGGAGAGTGAAAGATCTCTGCGATTCTGTTCCGCGATGCCTCAGCAGCCCACCCCTGTCGCGCCGAAGGCTGTGCAGCCGTCCCAGTCGCCCAACGCAGTACCGCCGCAGCAGATTCCCAACCACGCAGGGATGCACCCAACACCCATCCCCAACCACGCTGGCTTCGCCAGCGCACCACCCCAGCACCAGATGGTCGGCCAGACAGCCACAGCAGCTGATGCGCCAACTCCTAACCCCGCGATGGCGCTGGGCAGCCCTGACCCCTTCATCGCTCTGTCAGGTCAGAATGGGAAGCGCAGGGACGTCCGAGATGGATGGATGGCACATGACACGTGTGTGTGCGTGCGTGTCTGTGTGTGTGTGTGTGTGTGTGTGTGTGATGCCACCCTGCAGGTATGAACAAGGTGCAGGTGAGTGAGAAGGTGCGAGCCCTCGAGGCCGTCATCGGATGGGAGCAGAACAATGTGTAAGCCACGCAAGGCAGCCAGTGAGTGAATGAATGATGCGACGGGCCAGCGACGTATAGGCAGGCAGGCGCACGTGGTGTGTGTGTGTGTGTGTGTGTTTCTGTGTGGCTGTCTGTCGTGTGCGCGTCAGGTTTCGCATCAAGAATGAGTTTGGTGCTGACGTGATGGTGGCCAAGGAGGAGACCGAGTGGTACAAGAGGAACTGCTGCCTGTAAGCACACCACACTGACTGACAACACCACTGACAGACAAGCTGTGTATTGGCTGGCTGATTGCTTTGTTAACCATCTTCAGTGGTGACTGCCGTCCGTGGGACGTTGATGTCGCTCTCTGCCCGGTGGCTGGCGCACCGCCCGCGCCCTTTATCCATCTGCAGCGGAAGTGGTCCCTGACCTGCTGCTGCATCGGACGGCCAAAGGTCACCGTCACCGACGTCACCACAAGTGAGGGAGGGCAAGAGTGCAGCCAGAAGGAAGGAGTTAAAGAAATGCCTGTACGTATTTGTTGTCGCCGCTCATGTGTGGGTGGGTGCAGATCAGAAGTTGGGATCGGTGTCTGACCCGTGGCACTGCTGCGATGTCACCTTCGTCATCAGGGACCACCAGGGCCGCAAGATAATGCGCGTGAGGGGCGGCGGCTGCCAGTGCGGGTGGTGCTGCCACTGTCCATGCGGTCAGCCAGCAGACAGACGGGCCAGGCCACAAAACACACCCCAAACACACACGCCACACGGATGTCTCTCTCTGCGTGTTCAGGTCCGTGCCGGAAGATCAAGTTTCCCGTCTTCGACGCCAAGACGGGCAGGGAGATTGCGTCCATCAGACACGTCAGCCCAGCCCTGACAGACCGATATCACTCACGACACGCATCCCCATGGGATGGGCGTGTGTGTCGTTGTCTGTCTGTGTGTCAGGAGTGGGGCGGGCTGTTCAAGTCGATGTGCACCGACGCCGACGACTACTGGATTGACTTCGGTGAGGTGCAGGACCCCCGGTGGAAGAGCCTCCTCATCGCCACGGCCCTGTTCCTCGACTTCCGCTACTTCAGCAGAGGGGCCGACGGGCTGGCCGCCTGAGTGATCTGTGTGTGTGTAGTGGGCGGCTCTCGCACCGTCCTTGTACCTGTATATCTATCTCCGTGTAGAGGTCGGCAGATGGCCAGTGAGTGAGGTGGTGTGATTGATGTGCGGATGCGGGGCCTGCAGTGTTCTTTATCAGTCAGTTGTGATCGATATCCTTTTAATTAAATGGCAGAAGGGAAGGCATCACGGTGTAGAGTTGTGAGCCCGTGTGTGTGTGTATTGTTTTATCAAGGCGGGTCGCTCCGAAGGATAGTGAAGGAGTGTTTGTCTGGTGACTTATTTCTTCGTCTGGGGTGGGTGTCGCCTTCACTTTTTATCACATGGCGCTGTGCTGTGTCTAGGAGACTCACTGGATGACGCAAAGAGAACGAAATGAGGGACCAACTGGCTGGGAGGGGAGAATGAACCAAATCCATTACACTAATGGAAGAGTCAATCAATCGTCCAGGCACACCACACGAGTGCATCACACACTCCAGGCTGTCGTGTGTGTTGTCCGTGCATTGCGCCGGCATGCGGCACGCAAAGTGAAAACCTCGCGAAACAAGGCTCTCACCTGACGTGCCCACTCCCAGAGCCACGCCCGAACACCAACAGAAAGCCAGCGTGAGACGGACCAACCACTGGGGCGTACAGACAGATACACTCTCCCCTCGCCATTCTGTACATCAAGGAAGACTTCATTGCGCAGACTCGTCCAACAATCCGCCACGCACATGCCACACCACACCACATCACGTCACACGCCACGGCTATCTGCCTGTCTGTCACCTCCGCTTCGAGTGAGTCGGTAAAAAATCAAAAGCGCTATCACAATAAACCCACCCACTCAACACATGGCGACTTTCCTGTCTGTCTGTCCGTTCATCTGACTGCGCGTGCCGTGCCGTGCCGTGCCGCCTTGAAGCCAGTGCTGGCCGCCATTATTCTATTTATGTACAGAGACCCTCGCGCGGGATATGTGCCGAGGGGGGAGGCCGGGGGGGTGAGGGTTGGCCGGCGGGCGGGCGGAGCGTTGTGTGCCGCGATTGATGGGATGGGACCGTTACGCCGATCCCTTGCCCTTTCCCTTGCCTTTGCCCTTCCCCGCACCTGGCGGCTTGGTCTCCAGAACCTAGAGGGAGGGGCACACACGCACACAAAAGTCGGTGCATCGATCTGACAGGGCTATGTGTGGCCGCGTGTGTGTGGATGTGACTGACCGACCTCGTCAAGGGCGAAGTTGTTAGTATTGACGCCAGCGTAGTTGATGGCAGTGAAGCGGACAGTGACGGGATACCGCACCTCGGGGTTCTTGTCAACCACCACAACATTGCCCTCCTTACCGTACCTGACAAACAAGATCACACACATCAGTCACACACAACACAATCACGACAGATGCACCAACCACACTCAGTCGTGATTCCCTCTCGCATCCCTCCGCCCTCTATGCCTTTCTGCTGACATACCAGTAGCTCTCTGGTCGTGTGATCCTCACAGTGGACCCCTTGGCGACCATCTGTGGCGCGGTCTTCGGTGCAGGTCTCGCCGCAGCAGCATTGGACGCACCCACACCCAGCCTGGTCGGTGGCACGAAAGCAGAGCCACTGGCGCGGCGCAGCGACACGCAAGACGACAGCACCACCAGGGACGCCAAGACGGCGACAGACACCAGGAGCTTCATCGTGTTGCTTGCCTCACGGAAAATCGGGGGGGTAGAGCCGCTCAAGTGGGCCTTTTGCTTGTCCCTACGACTGCCTTCCAATGCCTTCAGAGATCTGCAGGGGGGGAACGCGAATCGCTTCAGGAGGTCGTAAATTGACGCGGATCGATGGCCTAAAAGGGCGAATTCGCGGCTTTGGTCGGCTGGATCTCTCGCGGCACAGGTTTGTGCACGCGCTGGCGCACCGTCTGCAATGATAGAGCGGGCTTGATTATCCCCTCTGAAACCCTGAAACCCCATAAACCCTGCAGAATGCATGTGTGTTTGCCGTTGCTGGTGTCTGCCTCTGTGTTTGGATCCATAGGTGACCATGCAGACAGCCATTGTCGGCCCCAGCCGAATCCTTTGCCTCTCACGCCTGTACATCTGTTATTCTGCAGGTCGCAAGATGGGTCAGGTGCTTGAGGTGATGGCCAGGTCCAGGCCGGTCAACTCGTCCAGCAAGAGCCTTCACGAGCTCAGTGCCAAGACACTCGACGGGTGAGTGAGTACAAGAGGGGGCAACTGTTTTACAGCGCCGCTACTACAGCAGGCGAGGAACTGACTGATTCATGTCGTGTGTCTGTGTGTCTGTGTGTGGGGATGTAATGTCTACGGCACGCAGGGCCACGGTCAACTTCAAGGACTATGCGGGCAAGGTCCTGCTCGTCACCAACGTGGCATCCAAATGAGGCCTCACCAAGGTGAGGTGACAACAACACCATACACACAAGAGGCGAAAGACCCGGTATTCTTCACCCACCGCCTGTCTGGCTGCCTGTCTGCCTGTCTGCCTGTGTCTGTTGATGGCTTCCTTCAGGCCCACTACACCCAATTCACGGAGATCTGGCAGCAGTACCAGGACCGCTTCAAGGGAGGGGAGGGGAAGGAGGAGGGCGGCTTCGAGATATTCGCTTTTCCGTGCGCTCAGTTTGCCAACCAGGTAGGTACAGACACACACATGCGACGTCCACTGCCACCAGGCTGCACGTGGTGTGGTGCTGTTCGGCTGGCATGGCAGGAGTTCCCAGACGCGGCCGACATCAAGAAATTCGTCGCGGCTTACAACATTCCTGAGAAGTACAATGTCAGAATGATGGAGAAAATCGACGGTGCGTCACTCGTCAGGCCATTGGTCGATCTCGCTGCATGGGTGGGTGGCTGTTGCCTTGTCGGTTTGTGTGGGTGCAGTGAACGGTCCGAATATGCATCCGGTGTTTTCGTTTCTCAAGTACCACTCCAGCCTCTATGACGACCAGTCCAAGACGGCCAAGGACATCTCGTGGAACTTCGGTAGTCACACAGAGACGACAGCGGTTGACACACACGAGACAGACAGACGCTGTTGCTTCTGCTGGTCGTCAATCACTCACCAGGGAAGTTTTTGGTGGACCAGGAGGGCCATGTCGTCAAGTACTACGGGCCGCAAGTCATGCCTAAGTAAGTGAAGCGACCACCGTTGATGTGATGTCACGAACCTATCTCTCTTTCACGCTGCCATTCCCAACTGTCAGGTCGTTCATTCCGGACATCGACCAGGTCATCGCTCGTGCGCTGCGCGGGTTCGTCCGCCCACCCCCACAGTGAGTGAACAATCGAAAGAGGTAGCCCGGTTGCCCTGACGCCCGCCGTCTCCCTCTCCGCCCTCCTGCCCCCATCTTCGCTTGCCTTGCCGCGGATGATGGCTGCACCGTCAAACCCCCCATAACGGGGCTCGGTGCGGCCTGAGAGCTTCCCTGGCCTGCCGGTCGGCTGTGTGGCTCCCTATGGGTGTAGGGGGGGCTGCGCCGCCGGCCGGTGGAAAGGGGAGGAGAGCGAGGCAACGTGACTTGGGGGAGGGAGGGAGGGGGAGAGGGAGATGGGGATGACGGGCGGTCCGAGGTTTTTTCGGTGCGGGCTCGTTTCGTGCGGTATGTATTTTGGTATTGTGTGTGTGTGTGTCTGTTGCGCAAGTTTGTATTTGTCGGTCGGTCGATCGTGAGGCTAGGACTGATGGATGGATGGATGGTCGATGGCTGCAATGCAGCTACATGTAATTGTATTCTGTTTGGATGACTGTGAGCGACTCGAGATCGATTCAACGCGATTGCTGCTGGTGTCCATCATTCGCCTTTAATCATTCGCCCATCCCTCTTAGAAAAGAGGCGTCAGCCACGACAGCGCAGAAGCAGCCAGCCAGACAGGCAGGTCGGCAGGCAGGCAGGCAGGCAGCTATGGGACATCCATCTACCTATCTACATCTAATCAGCCAGTGAGTCAGTCAGTCAGTCAGATTGCCGCGGAACTCCTGGAATGTGAGGAACCGACCTGCACCCACACACCAACAGACACAACACCCTTGATGCGTGTGCCGCGCCGGTGTGTGGATGGATGGATGGATGGATGGGAGTGGGTGGGTGTATACCTTTTTCCGCCGTCTGTTTGACCACCTCCAGTGCGAACTCCTTGGCCGTGCGGCCAACGCTGATAATTGGATGGATGGATGGATGGACACACACATGTGACCAGACAGACAGACACAATGGGGTTGGGTTGACTTGGGTTGCTGTGCGTACGCACCCACTCACGTACCTCTCCTTTTTGGCGTCTTTGGCGAGTGAATCGAGTAGCTGGAACATGGGGGCGTTCTCGGCTATGGGGGGCGACAGCTTCCAGGTCTTGAGGCCGTGGATGAGGGACCCTCCGTGAACCGCCAACGACACGTCTACCTGCATCCATCGGGACACACACACACACACACACACACATGAGGCTGGATGGGTGTGTGGAGGTGCGGTGGGGTGGGGTTTGGCTCACTCTGAGGGTGATGGTGACGCGCTGCAGCGGCGGCCCCTTCTTGAACAGCTGCACCTCTATGAACAACTGGCGGCCCTTGTCCTTCTTGACAACACCTGACACACACACAAATCTATGTGCCTCCATCTCCCTGTGACTCCACCCTCCCCCCCCTCCTCACCTCCCTCCTCTGTGTGTGCGGCATTGTTGGTCTTGTTGGTCTTGTTGGTGTCCCGTGATGTGACGGTGGCCATGAGGGTCTCCCACATCTCGGCCAGCTCCCCCGCCACACGCCGCCACTTCTGCACCCAACCCACTAACCAATCCAGCTTAGTCGACAGATCAACAGGCACCTGCACAAGCACCAATCCACGGACAAGCAACACAAGCTGGACAAGTGTGTGTCGGCGGATGGTTCTTCCTCTTTCTCTGCTCACCTGTATGTCTCCCTGCTGTTCGATTCCGTCCATGGTGGGTCGCCCCTGGCCCCCCTGGTTGAGTGCGGCCATGACGGCCTGCTCGAGTGCCGCCTCCCACACGCCAGGCGACTTGAAATACGCCGAATCGCAGGGTAGCTCAGTCGCTAACGATATCACCTCACGACCGCCACCACCGCTACCACCACCACCCCCGTTGCCACTATCCCCCTCTCCCTCTTCTCCTCCCTCCTGACGCTGTCCGAACCCATTCAGCTCAACTGTCAATGGCTGATGCTGCTGGACCTCACTACTCCCACCAACCGCCCCGTCCGCCCCCTCTCCCGGCCGCACCACATTGACGGTGTATTGCCCGTTGTGCGTCCATGCGAGCTTGAGTGTGGGGGCCGGGGTGAGGTCGTTGGTGGGCTGAAGGGCCAGCAGCACGTGGGACTGCCCCAGCTGCAGGGAAGTGAGGCCGAGCTTGTGCAGGGAGCTGCGGAGGAGGGCGTGGGCCTGCCGGGACTTGCTTGCCAATGACTGAATGACGCACACAGCACAGGTAAGTGGGAAAGAGGGGGGGTTTCCAGGTCATGTGGGATGACCTGGTCTGGTCTGGTCTGGTCTGGCTGGTGTGGCTGGTGTGTGCTGGTACGCACCTGTAGTTTCTTGACTTGGTCGGCGGCTGCCTGTGCGGCCGCCCTCTTGTGTTGGAGCCGAACCTCAGCCTGGCATATGGGAGGGGAGGGGGGGGGGGCAG